CTCTTCCTCCTCCTCCTTCTCCTCCTCCTCCTCCTCCTCCTCCTCCTCCCCCCTCCTTCTCCTCTTTCTAAATGCAAAGATGCCCGTCCTCCAGTTATTCCTCAACACATCTTTCCATTTTCCTATTCTCTCCTCCCGGGGATCCAGCGGCCCGGATCCTGGTCAGCCCATCCCCCATGGTGCTGGAAGGGGAGCAGGTCAGCCTCACCTGTGACGTGATGGGAAGCCTCCCAGAGGATGCCAGCTTCTCCTGGTACCGGAACAGCAAGCACCTCCAAGGGCTCACCGAGGGCACCCTCACCTTCCTGCCCGTAAGCCCCCAGGACGCCGGAGCCTATTACTGCAAAGCCCAGACCGCTGACGGGAACAGCCTCAGCACCTCTCCATCCGTCAGTCTAACCGTGTTTTGTAAGTTCCCGAAAGCTGGTTTGTCTCCATATCCATCTTAAATGACAGGCTGGGAAAAGTCTGGATTCCAAACTGGGGGTGTGGGAACAATTAACCAGTGGAAGGGCTTCCCTTGAGAGGTTGTAGGTGCTCCATCGCTGGAAGTTTTTAAGAAGAGACTGGATAGCTGTTTGTGTCGAATGGTAGAGGGTCTCCTGCTGGAGCAGGGGGTCAGACTAGAAGACCTTTAAGGTCCCTTCTAGCTCGGGTGTTCTAAGTGTAGCTTTCCCTTTCAAAACAAAAAAGGGGTGGGTGGGATTCAATCTACTCTCCAAAGAAAATTTTGGTGGTCCGCAAAGAAATGTCTCCCCCAAAACGATTAATCCAGCAGTTAATGGTTGGGAAAGCTGATTCTAGATAAAATGAAGTGCACTTTTGCATGCTTTTAGCTCTGCTTTTCCACTGAATCCTTCCTTAGGGCACCCCCTTGTGAAATATGAAGTCAAAATAAGGACGGTGGGAGGTCTTCCTCCATTCCAGCATGCCTTTCTCCCCCACCTTACACACAGAACTGGGCCCCTCCCAGTTAAACCCATGGAAAACCGATTCCTGGTTGTGCCTTCTACGGCCAGCAGGTGGTGCTATTGGCTTATTTACCAGCCCTGCTGAATACAGAATAACAGAGCTGGAAGGGGCTTTGAAGGTCACCTATCTAGTCCAGGGGTCTCCAAACTTGGCAACTTTAAGACTTGTGGACTTCAACTCCCAGAATTCTCCAGCCGGCAACTTCAGAGTTGAAGTCCACAAGTCTTAAAGTTGCCAAGTTCGGAGACCCCTGATTATAGTCCAATCCCATTGGAGACCTTATACCAGGGGGTCTCCAAACTTGGCAAGTTTGTGGACTTCAACTCCCAGAATCCCCCAGCCAGCATGGCTGCCATAGTATGGGGCTCCAGGAAAAGCCAGCACAGGTTTTTAAGAGTGTAGTGTGAGGTCCCTGGTGTTCTCTGAGCACAGATTTGACTCAAGTTAATTGATAGCGAGATGGACGGCATTAAAAATTTAATAAATTATCATCGATCCTTTCAGACAGCGCCAAGGAGCCCTCAGTTCAAACCTGAGAAATGAACTTTCTCTTCTCTTTAGAAAATATGGCTTCACAGAACCAAATTCCAGAACAGGTCATTTGGTCGGTCCTCCGTAACTGAGGTTAAGCATGCTTGGGATAAACATATGTCCGTCATCTGATAAAAAAAAATAATTCATTCACATAAATAAATCAACAGAAATTAAAAATAATGAAGAAAGAAATTAGAAAGGAAACAAACAAATAGACAAAGACCTCAGAAGGCACACTGGGTGGATCGAGCGCAGTGGTGGGATTCAAAGATTTTTACCACTGGTTCGGTGGGCGTGGCTTAGTGGCGTGCTTTGCAAGCGTGCACACACTTTGCATGTGCATGCGTGTCGAACGCACACTTTGCACAGGCATAGAGGCAATCCGACTTGCCTCCTGCAAGCCTGCACTCTCCTGGTCGCTTCAGCGGCCGCCGCGCAGCACTCTTCCGTGCCGCGCAAAGCAGCTGCGCTTCAAAAGCAGATGATAAAGGTGAGTATGGAAGTCCGGGTGGACAGGTGGGCCCAACAGCAGAGCGGTGCTACCTGTTTGGTCTCCGCTGCTCATCGGCGCTACCAGTTCAGGAGAACCAGGCCGAACCAGTAGAATCACACCACTGATCAAGGGGGTGTTTTTTTTTCTTCTACCAATTTCCTATGTTCTGTTGGGAGCTTGGAGTACGAGAGGAGGGCACCAGGGGTGAGATTCTACCAGTCCGCACCTATTAGCTAGAACTGGTTGTTAACATCCTAAGCAGTTCGGAGAACCAGTTGTTAGAAAAAATTACTGGTCTAATCCTGTAAGGAAGGCAGGAAGGAAACATTCTGGTGTTGCTTACAGAAACTGCCTCTCCATTAACCCTTATTACATTCTTGGCAGGACAATAGTAGACAGTCTAAGATTAAAGTTTTTGGGGTTTGGGGAAGATACCACAGAGTCAGATAAAGTATTCCAGACGTTGACCATTCTGTTGCTGAAGTTGTATTACCCTCAGAGGTGGTATTCAAAAGATTCTGACCGGTTCTGGAGAACCGGTAGCGGGAATTTTGAGTAGTTCAGAGAACCGGCCAATCCCACCTCTGACTGGGCCCACCAACCCCATCTCTCCTCTGCCTCCCATCGAGTCCCAGCTGATCGGCTGGGTCTTCTTTGGTTGCCCTGCACAGCAGAATGGAGCTGGAAAGCCGGGTTAGTGGGATGGGGAGGGAATAGGGGATTTTGCAGTAGATCCTTCCCTTGCCACACCTACCAAGCCACGCCCACAGAACCGGTAGTAAAAAAAAAAGTGGAATCCCACCACGGTTGCAGATGCTTCGCGTGAAAACTAGCCAGCTCAAAGACCCCCAAGGACCCTTCCATCTTTGCAAAGGGCAAGAGGAGATACCGCATCCTTCCATTTATGGAGAACTTCGGCTGAAGGCCTTTTTGATCTGGAGATGTTCCACCTGATAGGGAACCTCCAACTTCTGGATTCCATGCACCTATTGCAATCTGTTTGATTTTTTTTCCCCACAGACCCCCCTCGGAAGCCCCACGTCACGGCTTTCCTCGAGACACCAAGCAGCCGAGTCGCCGTCCTTCACTGCACGGTGGAAAGCAATCCCCAGGCCCAACTGTCCCTACGCAAAGGCCAGGAGCTCTTGGCCACCAGCACGGACTCCGGTCTTGGCCACCCGCTGCGAGTCAAGATTTCCCCCACGTACAACAGCCTGAGAGTGGAGATTTGGGACGTGGTGATGGAAGACGAAGGGGAATACGCCTGTTTGGCCAGCAACCGATACGGCAACGAGAGTGCCAAGATCACCTTCAGAGCGGAGGGTGAGTAGGAAGGAGGGATGCCCTGGTTATCAGCAGCTTCGGGTAAAGGACCGTGCAAGAGATCGGGGGACCCAAAAAAGTCTTGTGCCCAGAAATCGCATGGGGGAAGTCAGGGAGGTTTGTGGAGAAGTGCCTTTTGGCTATGTCCCCAAGCAGCCTGGGCTCCGATGCCAGCTGAATTTGAGAAGGTATTCTCAATGTGAGGCTTCAATTTGACATCAAAAGCCAGTATGGTTTCTTCAGATGTTTCATGACCCAACTAGGTAACATCATCAGTGCTAGAAGGGAAAGGAGGAGGAGGAGGAGGAGGAGGAGGAGGAGGAGGAGGAGG